TAATTTTTTTGTGGTGCAATTGGCGTTTTTTATAACACCATTTCGACGAATTGGATTTCTCTAAAATGCAGTATGTGATGCTGCAATTCTATTATTATTGGCTGAGTTGATTGGTTATCTTCATTTGAATGACTTAAAGTGATATCGTAATGAGAATCAAGATATTATTAGTGCTGCATGTATTTGTTAAAATACATGTACCTGTAGGTTAAGAATGGTAAGTTATAACGTTTTATTTTAAATATTTAAAGATATCAAAAATCTATGAACAGTAGTGTCATAAAACTTCCTACGTACACTATTGCGCCACCATACTATTTTTCATACAAGCCAAAAGAAACCATTAGGACGGCAATGTGACGACGAAGGCCAAAACAAACTCCCTCAAATAAATGGTAGTAAAGATAGTTCGTGGTGTATTATCAATCGTATGAATTTAATAACAGTCTTAAAACTTGAAAACATGGGTTTTGTGTTTGGGAAGATTTCTGCTAAACCCAGTTTGAAGTTGTCCTTGTTGTGGCTTGAAAGGCCCCAGTTGTATCAAGACTTGAAAATATATGATTTGGCGTTGTAAACAGAGCGAGAACAATGTCTAAATTATTCATATATTTTAATTGTTCAATTCTTTTCAATGATTTATGGTCTTGGTAGCCGATGCCGTCGCGTTCCCGTTCTAAATCGTAAGGTCTCTAAAACTGTACCTGCTAAACGGGAATATGCTGTGAAACACCGATGATAATCGACCTTGTAATATTGACTCATGCACAGGAATAAAAATTAAAAATCCATGTATAGAAGGTCATAGAATGGAAATTGTATGGACCTTTATTGGAAAAAGAATGGACTTTGATAATAGATAATAATTGTATATTTCCATACTATGGATATAGTATCGAAATAATATGTATATACTATGGATTTATTGGTGCAATTGCAAATTTCAAAGCATGGATTTCACATTTTTTCCCTAGTGATGTACTCTTGTTACCTGCCTGTAACACAAAGTGAACAGCTTGTTTTGGCTTTTTTGCTGTGTCGTATTTTAGTCCGTGCGTTGTGACCTCGAAAAGTGTCTAGAAAACGATTTAGATCTGAAATATTTTTACCGGAGCTAACATTTTCGAACACGCTGAGTTCAATTCCGAAAAGTTCCCACTCCGTAGACCAGTCAGTAGTTTTCTCACAAACTGCTATCTATTTTCACTAATTTCACAGCAAATTTTTTTATTGTTCAACGACACGGATTGATGACGATACACGATTATGCACTCAAAAGGACCCGATTCCTATTAGCCATTCTTAGTTTTAACCAAAAACCGGTTTTGCTCGAATCATTTTGAGTTATGCAGTCTTATGCGTGTTGGACGCAAACAACATATCACGTCTTACTCTACAACTTTGAGAAGGTACAGATAATTCCTTCTAATATCCTTAGTTCTGGATCTATCTCTACAAAATTACGAGGACGTTAATGCGAAGTCTATGTCGCTGGGCTGAGAAATAATTGCTTACATGCGATCAAAATGTTTTACACAACGATGTAAAACGGTAAGTTATATGTAATGGATCAGTATTTAAATTTCCAACACAGTTTCTGAGATGTAATTCAAGAGATAACTTATCATTGTATTTGAACTATTACATCAGTTGGTGTTATACAGTGCGATAAGCGAATATTATTGGAAAGATCGAGGGCTTCCATATACGTTGAAATTACCAAACAAACAGCTCATGCAGACATTTCTCCACTTCGTTTACAGAACATATTTTATACTTTGGGACTGATTTTTGTCTTTGATGTGAACATTTTTTTTATAGTTTAATTTAAAGATTATTTATAAGTTTGATCCTGTCGTAAGTGTTCTACAAGCAATCAATCGACAATATTTCATTTTAGCGTTGTTTTTGCCGTTACGTTACTGTAACGGTGGCTTCGTGTTATTTTTGTTTTAAATACCTTGATCGCGTTAAAAACGTTATATTGCAGGCCAGGGACACAGCCAAAAGACTTCGCATTAATGTCGTTGTAATTTTGCATAGATATCTCTAGAACTGAGGATCTTAGAAAACGTTATCTGCACTTTCTCAAAGTTGTAGACAAGATATGTTGTTTAAGAGTCATTGTCTGAGAAAACCGGGCAGAGCCAAAAGATCGAGGTCAACCGATTTCCTTCATATTTATACCATTTGTTAGGAATCTTGTAAGATTACCAATGGTGGAATATGGGGTTTCGTAGACGTTTCGTTGTCGAGTTGACCATCCCCTCCTAACTTTTGAGTTTCTGATGTCGTAAAATCCCCTTAATTAAGGCCAATTTTGCCGAAGCTAGAAAATTGTTTTGGGGGATCAGAAAAGTGTAGTGGTATTTTTTTAGCAATATTTGTTGCCTGAATAAGACAGGAGCGTAGAAAACTTTCACTTTGGAACATAAGTTTTTTTTATTAATTTCCATTATATATCGGCCTTACCGCCGACTCGAGTGATGGCCCGAAATTTAGTCTGATTTCAATAGCGTTTTATCAAAAGGGCGGCAGTTTGTTGAACCATTTGCTCAATTTTGTGATTATACATACGTTTGTTATAATAATAAAACAAGGTTATCATTGGCAAACTGAATTCCTCGAACGCAGCAGACACCTGAATTCCACCGTAATTATCCTAAATCGTCTCAATTACATCAGCCATTTCGACCCATATTTCCCGTGCTTTTACTAGTCTATCCCATAAATATTTTTATTTTTACTAAAGAAATAAGTCAGAAGAGGGAGCATATTTGTTCTTTTTGCTGACTCAAAACTCTAAAGGTCATCTTTGCTTGCTTTGATATCAAAAAGGTCAAGGGCGATGACAATAAATGCAATGCTTGCAAGTCACGGGAAATTGTACTCGTTTTATATGGCGCGTACAATCATTCTCACTATAACTAGTTCTATTCTCACAAGCTTTCACAAACCTAACCGCTGTGCAAAGGAATATTAAAAATTATATAAATGGTTTAATACAACTATTTTCTTAATACGTAGTGTTCATGTATGTATGTAGTCTTGACATTTGTGCGTGTATAAAATCGCGATAAGGACCAAGGTTTGTCTTGCAATGATCTTGCATTGACTTTAGCGTTCTAAAACATACACAAAAGTTATAGTCTTAGCTATAATAATCTTGGTACGTTTTCGAAACTAAGTCTTGCCCTTGGTAACAATCCGCTTAATTATAATTTTTTAATTTGCAATTTGCACACAATAATTATTTATAGCACTCATAACTCATTACAGGTAAATATTAATTCTTGAGGTGAATGTGCACGAAAACAAATCGCGGCTTGTGGCAAAACTGTTGACTTTAAAACTACATTTGGAGCTCCAATTTTATTTGCATATAATCATATACCAGGCACAAAAATAAAGGAAGTAAAATTGCTCCTGTTAACGAAACGACGAACGTTTCTCCGTTGTGACTTTCGATTACACACTTGTTGCGGGGTTTTCCCCGGCGAGAGGTTATGAAGACTATGACGATATTTTTTTACAAATTTAAAACGAAATTTGCTGGGATACGTAAAGTTTAGAAAGTGATGTGTAAAACTATTCCTTGCAGAATGTTAGGGAATTCCGAAGATCAAACAACAAAATCATTTGAAATTTCACTCGTATGCGGTCATTGCTTTCTGTGACCTGGGGAAAACCATTTGATTGTCTATTGCAGTTTGGGAATTACGTAATGTTAGTATAAATATTTATGATTATGAATAATTGTGTATACTCAGTATTATTATGAATAATTGTGTATACTCATCAGGCTTTCTTAGAACTTATTATTTCTTTGAAAATATATTTAAGAATGTACAGGCACTGTTTGGTATTCTTGACATGCACCAAAGTTCCTGGAAAAACATTTTTATCATGCAACAATTGACATGTACAAGTACAAGTGGATTCAAAATATTTGATGTTAGCAGTTATGACTCTTATGGCTTAGTAAATAATGAAAAAATGTGTATAAATGTGATTTGACATTTAAATTTCCAGTTGGACTGTCTTCTTTCAGGACTGTTCCAATTTATTTTCTACATTTACAGCTCTTCGCAAATTCTTCTAGAGGCTCAAGAAAGAATTTCTTTTTAGCTTGTGATCCTTGGATGTTGAGTCCTAACTCACTGGAGACAGTTTTCAGCTGTACAATTTTCAGATTTTGTAATTTACCAGCAAGTGAAAGGTCGCAAATGTTTATTTTGCCAACCTGGATGGGATGTTCCTGTCTCATTTCGCTGTAAATAGCGTCCCGCAAATCTTGCAGTGTTGTCTCTGTTTCCCAAGCCTCCATATCTTCTTCCGTCAACTCTTGCTCTGTTTCCTCTTCCACTCCTACAACACCGATTTGTTGCCGACGCAGGGTTGCACTGTACCTTGAGAAAAAGCTCTTGATCTGTTGAGCCGTTTTCCATTCGTCAGGCTGGAAGAATAGCTTTCCATTTTCATCATTCTTGAATTTCATCTCCCTGGAGACTGTTTGAGGATCGGCTTTATTACCACTGGTTTCTCCGGCTTGAAACTTCTCAATCAAGTATCCTTTAACTTTTTCTCCAAATCGCGGCCTCTTTTTGGTTGTTTTCAGGTCCCACCCCATGCTGCGAACACCATCAGACACTCTGGATTCCCCAGCCTCAACTTGCGTGAAAACACTAGGTGTTGGTTTATAGCAACTGTGCTAATCCCAGTTACTCTTTCGGCCCATTTTCTTCGGATTTCATCGTACAGAGAAACAGACTCTAATTCTCGGACATGCTTGCCAGTATCCATGTGCGCTTGTGCTTCTCGTTCTGACCTAAATGTTAAGATGCAAGTGGACTCGCTACAGGAAAAGATTTCTGCCTGTGCAGTTTTAGACGCTTTGCCAATGGCGCCACGTTCTTTTTGACGAGGTCCAAATGATTTAACAACTTTCAAACTTGCAACATTCTGCGGTTGAAATTAATGATCTTTGTAGGTTAGTAGTTTGCCTTTTCCAATTTCGTAGGCTTTCCATACTCGAATGCCACTACAGTTTCGTACTGAAAATTATAGGGTAGACATATGTCTGGTATTTTATTGCCTTCATAGAGATCTTGTGATGAGTCGACTTCAACTACTGCAGCTCTACATCCTTTCAATCCTCCATGAGATTCTAACGCCACTTTCATGTCCTCTGCTGAGACAACATCGTGATTTTCATTGACAAATCTTCGGATATGAGCCTTCATCGGAGCGATTTTTCGGTCGCAGATGTCCTTACCTGATTGGGGTTCGGGGAAGTCGTAGCGAGCAACAGTTATACCAGTTGTTTTGCCAATCTCTGGGAGGCACAGCAGCAATGGGCCATTGTGGTAACATCCTGCATTATCTGATCGTATATACGCTATATTGATGAGTGGATACTCTGCTTTGATTGAGCGGAAAAGGTGTTCAAAGATGGATGCAATTGTACAGTTGTTTTGAGTACAGGAATTGAAAATATGCACGAAGCACTCAACTTCGTAGTTACCAGCATTCATAGTAACTACTGCACTGGCATGCCAACTAAGTCCGCGTTTTCCAAAGAATTCGCTCATATTCTCTCGATATTTTAAAGGCAGGAATTTCATTGCCCAATCACATATAATTAAGCAAGTTTCTTGGTCCAGTTTATTTAGAGTCTCTTGCTTTGCTTCGTCCTGTGTAATAGTGCGCAACAGATGTGCTTTCCGGGCATAGATTGAGGTCTCACACTGCTTCAAATCGAATTCTACTCTGCTCCTTTGCTCGTCGTCCATTTCTGTGAGGTCAAGTTCGTATTTTATATCCTGTAAGACAAGTTCGAGGGATTCACATCTTTCACAATTGATGTTATGATTGTGATTACAGGTACTTGTGTAGTTCTCTGCTTTCGGATCGCTGAGAGAATGCGTGATACAATGGTCTGCGCAGTTTTCTTCTTTGCCAATGTGTGCCTTGAAGTCTGTTTTAAAATATCTCTTCACTTCCTTGATCTTGTGCTGAATACGTTTTCCCCACGTTTCATCTGCTGCATTTTCTACCAAGTTTTCAACGATTTTGACTAAACTGTCAATGCTTTGTGTTCCTTCTGCGGTTATGTTATCGAGGCCCTGTAATGATTTTTGCATAGAGGCAGAACAAACGTCAAGCATTCTATACAAAGATCGTTCAGATGCCGATTCAAATTCTTGCTGTTTGCAGTAGGCAGCGTATTGTTCAATGATTCGAGAAGGAATCAATGTTCTTACAGCAGCTGGAATAACAATGCGTTCACCAGAGTCCAGTCGCAATGTCTTGGTTCCAAAGGCCACGTCTTGCAACAGTTCTGGACGAGAAATAAAATCTAAAAAGTGATCGACTTTCGCTGAGTTAATCCTTGAGCGAAAAAGTGGTTTATCCTGAACAGGCTGTCCCTTCCCCGATTTAATTGCGTGATCACGTGCTTGGTCAATTCGCCACTTTAATAATGAAGGTATCATCCTTTGCCACTCGGATTTGCTAAAATCGCTTGCAAATAGTGATAAGATTTGCCTCTTTGTTTGCCATGACTGTGCCTGGTTATGAGCCTCTATCAACACTTCAATCGGGTCGGACTTAGCATCAAAATACCTACGGTGTGGTACGTCGTCACTGCAGTCCACTTCATTATTATGTAGAGGTTCTTTTCGTAGCGACTCCCAGAGTCTCTTTCTTGTCCTGGGCTTATCACAGACAAAGTTGCAGCGATCATTTCTCTTGCTTTACGTAAATAATAGTTTTGCTGAGTTGCCGAGATATCATCCCATTCGGTGTTTAGCGTGGACTGAAGAGGGCGCTGGTACGGCCGCCTGTTATGCTATCAAACGCATCGTTTAACACTTGCCTTTTACACTGCTGCTCTTCTTTTTCGTCCAACCAGACACTAACCTCTTCAACTGGTTCAGAGCTTGTACTTAGGGAAGAGTGACACGACGATATCTCCATCTCATCGCTTTGTTGCGTTTCAATTTTGTGTTCAGTGCGTTGATTTACTGACAGTGTATCTTGTGCCATTGTCATTGGTTCGATGATAATGGTCTGTTAAAAAAAGACACAATGAAATTTGTAATAGAAAATGTTATTAATTCGGAATCAAGATAGAAAAAAACATAAAAGTCAAAATGGTTTCACACTACCAGGGATGCTTTCTGCAGGGTTCAGTGTACTTCGTCTTCGATCTTTGTAATGAGCAGTTCTACAATTGATACACATAGCTAACAAGAAAATATGATAGTAAATCTAGCCAGTGCTGTGAGTAACTTCGTTACAAGTAACTAGTTACATGTATCGTTTCATAACTGTAACGGTAACTAGTTACTTTTTTGGGAAGGTAACTTGTAACTTGTAACTAGTTACAAAAATTGATAAAAAGTAACGGTAACTAGTTACATTCTGGCCTAGAGAGAGCCGTTACTTTTGGCGATATCCAACTTACTGAAAAGCTGTTTTGTTGCGCAGGGTTTTAAGTTTTCAGACTACAATGCTGCTCAATGTGTGAAAATTCTTTTTCTGGTTAAATTAAACAATTGTTTTGTTTATTGACATAACTCAATCCATGAATTGTAGTCTGACTCATGCTATTGCTTAACATTATAATATATGCTTGGCATAATTATCGCAGCTATTTTGTACTATAAATATACCAAAGTAACTTTGTAACTGTAACTAGTTGCTTTTATTTCATTGCAACAATTATGTAACTTTTTACAGCACTGAATCTAGCATGTTGGTGCTGGATCAAAAAGAAATTTTTGACGATAGAAACTTATACATTAATTGGTGCTTTAGGTTGCCCTAATGAGTATTGAGTATTGATGTACATTTTTAAGAAAATATCAATGAGTCATGCAGCGGCGTTACTGCAGTTGATTTAACTCGAATAGGGAAAATTATGTAGTGGCTGTAGTAACTGCAGTTATTCACTTTTTCGTTGCAATTTCTAATTTCCAAAATAGTATTTCATATGCAAGGCAGTTGTTACTTTCTTCTGAGAGATATCTATGTACAAGTTTCTGGGTTCCTTTTCAAGATCGCCACCATAGTATATAAGCACATGCGCTAATATTTTGTTGGAAAATACATCCTACGCAAGTGCCAAAATTTATTATTAATAATACAATAAAACTCAGGATGTTCACTAAAATTTTGTTTCATTATTTAACTAGCCGTAAAAAAACATCGTCATTCTTCATGACCTCGCGCCGGGGAAAACCCTGCAACAAGTGTGTAATCGAAAGTCACAACGCCAACGGAGAAACGTTTGTCGTTTCGTTAACAGGAGCAATTTTACTTCCTTTGTTTTTGTGCCTGGTATATGATTATATGCAAATAAAATTGGAGCTCCAAATGTAGTTTTAAAGTCAACAGTTTTGCCACAAGCCGCGATTTAATTTGTTTTCGTGCACATTCACCTCAAGAATTAATATTTACATGTAATGAGTTATGAGTACTATAAATAATTATTGTGTGCAAATTGCAAATTAAAAAATTCTAAGCGGATTGTTACCAAGCGCAAGACTTAGTGTCGAAAACGTACCACTGAAGACTATTATAGCTAAGACTATAACTTTTGTGTATTTTTTAGAATGTTAAAAGTCGATGCAAGATCATTGCAAGACAAACATTATCGCAATTTTATACACGCACAAATGTCAAGACTACATGCATAAATGAACACTATACATATTAAGAAAATACTTGTATTAAACCATTTATGTAATTTTTAATATTCCTTTGTGCAGCGGTTAGACTTGTGAGAATATAAGTAGTTATAGCGCATGAGAATGCACGTGGCATACAAAACGCGTACAATTTCCCGTAATTAAACTTGCATGCAATCATTGAATTTATTGTCATCGCCCTTGACCTTTTTGATGTCAAAGCAAGCAAAGATGACCTTTAGAGTTTTGGGTCAGCGAAAAGAACAAATATGCTCCCTCTTCTGACTTATTTCTTTAGTAAAAATATTTATGGGATAGACTAGTAAAAGCACGGGAAATATGGGTCGAAATGGCTGACGTAATTGAGACGATTTAGGATAATTACGGTGGAATTCAGGTGTCTGCTGCGTTCGAGGAATTCAGTTTGCCAATGATAACTTTGTTTTATTATTATAACAAACGTATGTATAATCACAAAATTGAGCAAATGGTTCAATAAACTGCCGCACTTTTGATAAAACGCTATTGAAATCAAACTAAATTTCGGGCCATCACTCGAGTCGGCGGTAAGGCCAATATATAATGGAAATTAATAAAAAAAACTTATGTTCCAAAGTGAAAGTTTTCTACGCTCCTGTCTTATTCAGGCAACAAATATTGCTAAAAAAATACCACTACACTTTTCTGATCCCCCAAAACAATTTTCTAGCTTCGGCAAAATTGGCCTTAATTAACTCTTTGCCGACCGTACGGTTTCGCATTACATTACGACTTAATTTTTCTATTGTAAATATCTCGGCGAGTATTTACCCCCCTTTAAAATAGAAGCCACCATTGAAATCCTCACAAAATAACCTTTCGAACGGGGGGTCAAGTGCCGTCAAAACATTACACAAACCGAAACAATCATATATTTACTCACCGCACGGCCAAAGATTCTAAATTTCATATCCAGAAAATCTTGAATATCTCTTGAACTTTTCCGTCGTTGTCTGAACGGCTATATGTGTAAATACTCTTTGTATTCAAGCGCTTTCGTGTACAAAATTTCGTTTGAATATGGCGAGTAAAAATATTTATTTTGAATTTTTCAAGATGTCGGGTTTTACTCGCACTTGCTTACATTGCGCAATAATTGTCCAATAAGAAGCTCTTGTGGCCGGGATGACGTCAAACTCACGCGTGTAGGGGCAATTTGACCTGTAGAATCCATTTTTGGCATTTGCAAGGTCATATGATACAAACGTCGCATTGTTTTGACGGTTTTCAGTCGTACTTCCGGTTGGGATTAACTCACTTCGAGCTCACAGTCGGACAAGAAATGGAAATATATTGATAAAATATACAGAGTTGAAGATACAGTCTTGCAAATAGCACTCTAAATAGTGTTTTTGATGGGGATTCGAACAAGACTATTACAAAGACGATATGTTCGAAGGGACCGAAGTTATTTTCGGCGAAAGGTATGGCTAGTTTATATTTTTGTTCAGACAATTGCATAATTTGATACAATATGATCGTGTTTGACTTCAAAGACCCATAATGTTGATAATGACTATAACTATAGTGACAAATTAGTTGAATCTTTTATTTCTGAATCGAATGGTGGTACTTCTGTCTTCATAGCATGCACTGAACCGAAGATATGAACATGCAAACATTCAACCTCTAGCGGATGAATGATTTGGGATCGGTTGCTAAGGAGTTAAGGGGATTTTACGACATCAGAAACTCAAAAGTTAGGAGGGGGTGGTCAACTCGACAACGAAAGGTCTATGAAACCCCATATTCCACCATTGGTAATCTTACAAGATTCCTAACAAATGGTATAAATATGAAGGAAATCGGTTGACCTCGATCTTTTAGCTCTGCCCGGTTTTCTCAGACAATGACTCTTAAACCGATCGTCTTTTAACTTTTTGAGAGCAATCGTGCATGTTGACACATGAGATTGACTAAAATAATTATTTTGCAAAGAATCGAAAGATTGCATAATACCACGCATTGGTGTTGCGAGTTTCTCGCGATATCGAGTCCAGAATGCGAGTGGCCAGAGGCGAGTGGTGATGAAGCGTGGTGCCATTGTAAGAAACTAAAATATAGTCATAGTTATTATTTGAGCATTTGGACTTATTCATTTTTATAGAGATAGACATGATTTATTGATTTCATGACCTCATTCACTAACTTGAGTTCAATTATTTGTTTCTAAACTTTCTATAAATATAAATAAATGTTCCCAGTATTAGCACTTAATTTCTTCAACTGCATACAGGCTTGGCTGACACTCATATTGCATTGTAGTATTGTATTAGAGTTAAATAACCCCGGCTGGTAGCCGTGATGTTTTGTAGTACACTATAGGTCCTATAGTATAGTATACTACAGACACGCCCAGTTGATAGCCGTATTGCCGGCTGGTAGCTGTGATGTATTGTAGTATACTACCGACAGGCTCGGCTGACACTTGTATTGCATTGTAGTATTGTATTACAGTTAAATAACCCCAGCTGGTAGCCGCGATCTATGCCGGGATGTATTGTAAATATTGTGTTAAAGAGTAGATACTGCTCCGCTGGTACTGTACCCATGGCCGTGTACAATGGTGCACGTATTTACGCAATCATAAATCACGCTGGCTAAGAATAACATATTTTCCGTGTAAGGACGTGGTGGCGCAGGGGAACAACACTCGGCGTCTGTGCTGAGGGCTGTGAGTTCGAATCTCAGAGTGAGCGCGTTTAGTTCTCAATTTTTCTCATTGCCATAATTTTTTTTCTCGTTTATTTACCTGTCGCATAGCTAGCTGTATGCATTGGGAAGATGAATTTAGATGCATTTCGATGACTTTCGGAAAATTTAATGTAATTTTGGTGGTTTTCTGCTTGTGAAACATTCTAGAACCAGTCTCCGAAATGCGCACATTTTTTGAACGAATAGTATACTATAGTACAGCTCGGCTGGCAGCCAAGCAATCGGAGACAAAATTTCCGGCTGTCAGCCGGCATCAAATGTGCTAATCGGGTGGAATGGCACAAGGATTTTCATGTTATCAGCATG